CTGAGTGGGATAATGGGTCTGGAGAGCAGCTTTCAAGCGGGCTTCTCCCTCAAGTGGGGGTCCCAGCGATAAGGCTGATTGGGAGAAGACACATTTTAGGACATGCATTGGCTGCAGATGAGTGGGATGATTCATCCCCGCCTGTCTGCAAGATGAGGTAGGTTCATCAAGCTCTCCGCAGAGCCACACAGCGCATTAGCAGCAGACTTGTGTCTAATAATAATACTCTGCCAGCAATTAAAAATATAACTCCATTTAAGGGTGAGATACACAGCTTGGGGTAAAGACTGTAGGATGTAAAAAATGACACCAGCGGGTATTTTAAGACAAAGCAGCTGAACGTACAAGCTGGCTGCATGGCACGGCTCGCTCCCCCATGCTGGGCAGCAGCTTCCACCCCCTTGGAGAGCCAGAGCAAAGCCCCCGATCTCGCTGCCTCTTGAGAGGTTTTACCATTCTCAGGAGCAGCAGCTGCCAAAGACACTGCGGAGGTTTGCCCCACCTTTGGTTTGGGGCCAAACGGGCAGGTTTTGGGGCTGGGAGGCTGGGAGTGCAGGCAGGCTGGGATTTGCAGCGTGGGGCAGAGTTCCCAGTGTCCCACAGAGCCCAGGTGTCCCACCCTGCGCCCAGGTCTCAGGGACAGCCATCAGTACTTGGGAGTGTGTGGGGAAGGCCCCCATGTTGCTTTGGGAGCTCATGAGGTTACTAGGGATGCTCCGGAGCAGATTCAGCAGCAAATGAAGCAAAACAAAACCCAGTTATCATTTCCACGTCTTTGAGCTTCTTGTTGGCCATCACCTAGACCTGTCTGAGCTCACCTGAGGAAAGGCAGGGAGGGTTTTATCTGATAAAACAGATCAGAGAGAGATAACAGACAGATAATACCGCTTGTGCAAGAACCTCCTTGGAAAACTGAAGAGCTAATGAAAGAGGAATATACTTAGAGACAAAAAAAGGACTTGCGCATAGCTCAAGTCTAGTCCAGGCTCCCAGCCAACCTAACTTCAGTGTGACAGCTGAGATGGTGTCTAAGAAAGTGAAAAACAATTCTGACCAGAATTGTCAGTGAAGGGTCTCTAAAAAAGTCAGAGGAAGGTCTCTAAGTTAAACTGCCTGAATATGGCCTGGTTCCTTCCCCTGCCACAAGCAACCTTCACTCTCCCTATAAAGCTTTTACCATATTCAGCTGTATCAGCCAGTTGCTAAGACTTTCATGCAAAAAAAATACATATTCCCTAGCTGGGATGGACAGGTGATGTACAATGCAGCAGGCATGTTTATATACCATATTGAGACTGTGTCTGTGTATATTCTGTGTATAGAGGCTGTGTCAGTATATATTCTGTGTCTCAGCCTAATGCCTTGCTATACCAACTACCGATTTTCAGTGACTGTATACACTGCTATTATTAACA